TGCAGTTTTGGGAAGGGGAATCCCACTACATGTCTTTTTGTGGAGTTTAAAGAAGTTTGATGAAGCCCATTGCAACCAAGGACCTTCTATACCAGCATGAGATGAAATGTCTCAATCGATATTTGAACCATGTGTCAATAAGCCCCCTTCTTGTCCCATCTAAGTCTCCTGCCAAGTTAAGAGATGTGTTAGTGCTTCAGTTTGTGGCCGTTTCCTCTTGTCCTATTGCTGCCCACCACTGGGAAGATGCTGGCCCCATCCTCCTCGCTCCCTCCATTGAGGTACTTATAGATGCTGATTAGATTCCCTCTCAGCCTTCTCTTCTCCAGGCTGAACAGGCCCAGCTCCCTCAGCCTCTCCTCATAGGGCAGATGTTCCAGGCCCCTCATCATCCTTGTGGCCCTGCGCTGGACTCTCTCCAGCAGCTCCACATCCCTCTTGTCCTGTGGAGCCCAGAACTGGACACAATACTCCAGATGTGGCCTCACCAGGGCTGAGCAGAGGGGCAGGATCACCTCCCTCGATCTGTAGCCCTGGCTGCCTGCAGCTGCTCTGGGCAATCCCTCTCCCCAGGACGGCCCTCGCTGCCCACTCCAAGCCTGTGTTGCCCCTGGAGGTCCCCTGTTCCTCATGGTGGCTCCATATTCCCTTTCAGAAGGAGGGCCATCTGTCACAGCCCGGCAATCTGTGGGACAGTCCCTGGCAGACACCTCCTCATCACTCACCTTCTCAGGGCACTGGGCATCAACAAGTGGAAGATGAATCCAACCCTCACTCCCTAACACATCGCTCCATGCACTGATGCCCCTTGCCCATACCCCAGGCATGGCCAGATGGCATTTTTGGGTGCAATGCCCTGAGTCGCTTCTTGACCCCAGCTTGGGAAGAAGAGCCCAGCCTCGAGGCACAACACTAAGAAAATTGGATTTTATTGCAGAGATGCTCCTTGGGAGACCATCTCTGACATGCTGAGGGCACATTTGTACACAAACATGAGGATCAGGTGATAAAACACACGAAATAAAATAGGTGCTTGAGAAGTAGTAGAAAACATTTGTGAATATAGATGGGCAACTCATTCCTTCTCAAGTAGAATCCCTTGAATCAGAATCTTCAGTGTCTCCTTGAGGTCTTTATTCCTCATGCTGTAGATGAGGGCGTTCACTGTTGGAGGCAACACCGAGTACAGAACAGCCAGCACCTGATCCAGAGATGGGGAGAAGATGAAAGGGGGTTTCAGATAGGCAACCAACACAGTGCTGATAAGCAGGAAGAGCACGGTCAGGTGTGGGAGGCACATGGAGAAGGCTTTGTGCCGGCCGTGCTCGGAGGGGATCCTCTTCACCACTCTGAAGATCTGCACATAGGACATCACGATGAAAATGAAACACCCAAAGATTAAAAAGCCACTAACCACAATAACCCCAGCTTCCCTGAGGTAGGAGTGTGAGCAGGAGAGCTTGAGGATCTGGGGGATCTCACAGAAGAACTGCTCTACCACATTGCCTTGGCAGAGGGGTAGGGAAAATGTGTTCCCGGTGTGCAGGAGAGCATAGAGAAAACCACTGGCCCAGGCAGCTGCGGCCATTTGGACAGACACTTTGCTGTCCATGAGGGTTGCATAGTTGAAGGGTCTGCAGATGGCAATGTAGCGGTCATAGGCCATCACTGTGAGGAGACAATACTCTGCTGAGATAAAGAAGACAAAGAAAAAGACCTGGGCAGCACATCCCAAGTAAGAAATGGCCCTGGTGTTCCACAGGGAATTGGCCATGGATTTGGGGACAGTGGTGGAGATGGCACCAAGGTCGAGGATGGAGAGGTTGAGGAGGAAGAAGTACATGGGGGTGTGGAGGCGGTGGTCGCAGGCTACGGCTGTGATGATGAGGCCGTTGGCCAGGAGGGCAGCCAGGTAGATGGCCAGGAAGAGCGAGAAGTGCAAGAGCTGCAGCTCCCGTGTGTCTGTGAATGGCTTGAGCAGGAATTCTTTGAGGGAGCTGCTGTTGGACATTTGCTCCTTCAGGCCACTGAAGGACTGACAGAGGAAAAAGAGTTGTCAAGAAATTAGAACAGATTTCCATGTGTAAATCTTTCTCATAAGCCCTCCTCTAGCTCACAAACGTTATGAATTCCCCTTTCAGCCAAGTCTCAAGTCATTGAGGTCTGTGTCTTGAGCTCTGGTTGGTGCTGGGTGAGTTTTCCATGAGGACACAGAAATCCCCAGCATTCCTACTATACTCTGAGTAGATGGCTGTGGTTATAGAGGGACAAAAGGGCTCACTATAAAGGACTGTTCAACATTTTCACGTCCAGTTAATAGACATTTTGACCACAAGGACAACAGTTTCAGTTTGGGGGATCTTTGTGGTTTGCTCATCTGCTCCGCAGGGTGGGAACTGCACCCTTTCCACTGTGGTGACGGTGGTGCCCACCTGCAAACTGTGGTCTTAAGGGTGACCTGAAAGGAGAATCAGATGGTTCCCCAGACTCATTGACTGTGCTGCTTTGAGTCCCAAGGACAAGAAGGATCTTCATCCTTTCTCTCCATTGAAGACACCTCCACAGCAGCGATCCCAGGGTCTGTGCCAGAATCTAGCTCTAAATTTCCTCCCCATAAAGCCCAAGCACAGAGACAAGAGCAGCCCAGCCTGGGAGGGGAACAAGCAACCACACTTTGGTGCTTCTGTCTGGGGTGGCAAAGGCAGAATGAGAGGCACTGGGGAAGGTCTCATCCTAATGCAGCTGTGCACACCATCTCCTGGATGGAGACATCACAGACTGGGTTGTTGCATGCTCGTTTACCATGATTGAAGAAAGATGCAGGTGGCAGGAGCGCTGCCCCTCTCCTCTTATGGACCTCTGGCTGCCAAAAAGGCGGTCGGTGTCCGTGATCCCATGGCCTTCAGGACAGGGGATCTGCTGGGTGTCGGAGGGACTGTGAAGGTACCTTACTGATGGGAAAGCATCTGCACTGCAGAGGCTGGTAGAGACCTTCCTGCATCCCGACCTCCCGTGAGGTTTCTGGTAGCGTTTTCATTTCACCCTCAGAGAACAACTCTCCTGCTTGGAGGTTCCTTGATGGGAGCTGTTCCTCTTCCCCACCTAGACCCCATCCTGTCCACTGTGCTCTCAGCTCTGCCCTACAGAAGCTTCCAAGCAGCACGTTACTGCCCAGCTGCATTTCCCCTAAAGAGAACATGAAAAAAACCCCAATGCAACTGGCAACAGGATAGTAGTGCAGTCACTGCTGGCTGGGGATTGGTGAAGGCACCTGCACACCAACTAATCTGTCAGGGTTGTGGTGAAGATGCTGAGTCCTGGGGAAAACTCCGCTCTCAAAATATCCTCATTGTGAGCTGGAGCTGTGACCCTGAAGCCATGACCCAGGTAGCACCTGCTTGATGGAAGGAAGGACCTACCTTGCTGGGGTCGCCCCTCTCGTGCAAAGCTTCTCCCCACAGCACCATGGGGAGCCCTTGGCCAGGCTGAGTGCTGCCTCTCGCAGGTGGCAGTCAATGTCCCAGGCACACGGCAGCCTGGGGTGCAGGGACTCTCCGAATCACAGCCATGGACCAACCTTTGTGGAAACACTGGCTTCACGCTGCTGCGGCGTCCTAGAGAGAAGAGAGCAGGAAATCCCTGCTCTGAACCATCCCCTCTTCCTTTGCAAAGGACGAACGTGGAGAACCATCCATAAAAATCCAATTCTGTGAGTGGATGGGTTCAGATGACCCCTTCACCAGCATTGCTCTGAGAACTCTCCATTTCAAGGGCTCTGAATGAGCTCTCATTTCTCAACACGCTCCACACTGCCGTTCCCCTCTCGCTGCCTTCTCTCCTCTGCTGTCCGCAGCAGCAGGCAGTGCCCGCAGCCCTGCTGCTCTTGGCACAGGAGCTGCTCCTGCACTCGGCTGTCTCTGGGCAGTGCTGCCAGGCTGCCACGAGCTGCCTCCGTCCCAGGAGCCTGGCCCCGCTCAGGAGCAGAGGCCCGGCTGAACTCACCAATTTCACTGTCCCTTGTGCTCACTACTCATGGGAAATAATCACTGCAATAGACATAAACAATCCCTGATGTTCCCTCTCTAACTAGTGACAGATCGAGGCTAAAATTGCAATTGCTCTCATCAGAAAATGGTTACTTGCAAGAGGTGAAAACATCCCACACAGGAGGCTTCTCTTCCCATCTCTTAGCTAGGCAGGGCACCTAGACTGGGACAAGAATGGAGGTCATTTAACTATGGTTCAGGTGCTGATTCAAATGAGTCCCTCTGGGCATCTCATGCTGGTTTAGAAGCCCCTGGCATGCACTGGAATTTGGTTCCATACTCAGAACTCCACAAACATAAAAGTCAAAGCACTTTCCTTGCTCAAACTGAAGGGAGAATTACACTGATGTCTGCATGGGAGGTCCTTGCCTAAGCTTCTGTTGTAACCACATCACATGGAGGGTGGGAGTCAATTCCCTGGTGACATTTACGGAGACAGGTGGGAATGCTCATGGAGAGCTGCCTGGGGTGTGTTAGGAAGTGTTGCCAGCAAATGGAGGGAGGCGACCCTGGCTCTCCGCTCTGCCCTGCTGAGGCCACATCAGGAGTCCTGTGTCCAGTTCTGGGCTCTCTGCTACAAAAGGGACATGGAACTACTGAAGAGGGTCCAGTGTGGGACTACAAAAATGATCGGGGACTGGAGCATCTCTCCTGTGAGAAGACGCTAAGAGAGCTTGGCCTACTTATCCTGGAAAAGAGAAGGCTGAGAAGGATCTTATCAGTGTGTCCAAATATCTTCAGGGAGGTTGTCCAGATGATGAGGCCAGGCTCTTCTCAGTAGTGGCCAGCAACAGCACTAGAGGCAATGGCCACAAAGCGAAGCACAGGAAGTTCCTCCTAAATTTGTGAAACAGCTTCTTGACTGGGATGATGACAGAGCACTGGTACATTTTGCCCAGAGAAATCTCCTGGGCAAATAGTGGAAGAAGGTGATTGTGAAATCTCCTTCTGTGGAGATATTCCAAACCTGCCTGGACAAGATCCCATGCAACGCGCTGTAGGTGACACTGCTTAATCACGGGGGTTAGACTAGATCATGTACAAAGATGCCTTACAACCTCAAACATTATGAGTTTCTGTGAAGTGTCTGCCCTGAATTATCTCAGCTTTTTGAGTAGTAGGGATCTGCCTGTCCCTCAGCTTGAGAGTGAGTGGTGCTCTAGTAGGAGTAGAAGGCATGCAGGGCTATTTGAGATGGCCACAGAAATGTCCCACCTGTCTTCCAGCTGAAGCTCCAGAAGGATGCGGGTATTACGCTTGTTCCCTCAGAGTAAACACACACTGCCACATGCCTTGGGCCACCCCTGTCTCTTCCAATGTCACCAGGTGTTCTTGTGTGCACAAGTGACTCCATCTCCTGTGATTCTATTAGGAGCTTAGACAAGAAGCTCATGAGCAGGTGTCTTGTGTCATGCACACTTAGGTTGGTAGTGGGAATGCCACCTGCCATGTTCATGGCCTCAGTGGGATCCATTAATGTCTACAAAACTTTGGAGTTTCCTTCTGACTTTGACTTCTTCACTGATTTCTTCAATCTCCTTTCAATAACTCCAATTCATGGAATCAGCTCCAAGTACTCATGGAGCTCATGAAAAAGCAAAAAGCCCTGATAAACCAGGACTCTCCCTGCAATATTCTTCAGGTTCTCCATGGATAATTGGAGAGGTTTAGGGAGTGTAACTGAAAGCTGAAGACAATAATCATATACAAGTATTTCATCTTTTTAAGGCTTTGTATTATTATTCTAAAGAATAGGTGACAGCACACTGTCCTATTCCTAGCCATCCAGAGTGACTCCTAATATAGTCAGGGCATGTAGGAAAAGCCATGTCCCAGAGATGAGGCACTGTATGCTGAAAGCCAGCCTTAGTCCACTGAAGTCTGCATTGAATGTTAGAGCTCACCTGTCTGAATTCCCACCTGCTTTACTTAGACAACTGGCTGCAAAAAGGCACAGGAGGATCTTCTTTTGGTTACAAAGAAACAAACAAACAAACAAACAAACAAAAAAGATAGAGAAGAGTATAGTTTCATGGAAAATGACACTCTGTGTAGTGTATGGACAGAGTGTAGGGACACTGTGTCCATACAACCCATACATACAGAAAGGACTTGTCTAATGCGGCAGACTACAGGGAGGCAGAGCAAGCTTTAACCTCCCTAAAGGGCAAACCAGCCGCTGGGTCTCTGAGTGAACAGAGTATCGCGAGGAGTCCCAATGTGCCCAGATAGTGCCCTAAAGAGGATGTAAGAAATTGTCAGTTTGAACAGGACATGTAGGAATGGGAGACTTAAGTAGCCGCACAGGAGACAGGAGAGAGAATGGGCCAAGATGCCTAGCCTGCAGAGCTGGGCTCACAGCATCGCTGATGAGCTGCCACAGACTGAATAAGCAACCCAAAGAAGTCCTTCCTTTGGCAGTGCCTCGGAAAGCCACATCTCTGAGAGGGTCCCAGGGAGATGGCCTTTCTCTTCTGTAAGATGGTGCCCAGAACTCTGCGGAGATGAGGAAGAGCATGAAGGGAGGTTGCAAAGATGTTCCCCACCTTCATCAGCTGCAAAGCAGGGAGCTGGTGACCTCACGAACTGCTGATTGAGTTAAATGAGACAAGACTGATGAGTGAGATGGGGACTGCTGGATGAACACCCCCAGCGTGGACCTCAGTTCTTGTTCCCAGTGATCCTGCTGCTCTCCACCAGGGCTCCCAGCTTCGGGAGCTCCTTCCCAAGGTGTCACACAGCAACTGTCACTGCAAAGACCCCTGTGGATCCCAGGCTGTGGCAGTAGCTGCTCAGGGCTGGAGGCTGCCACAAGAGTCCTGCCTGAGGGTCCCAGCTTGCTCAGGGGACAATGTGGCAGACAGGACCCCTGGGGCTGGGTCTTTCCCGAGCCCCAAGGCTCCTGTTGGGCAGCTCCAACCCTTGTGTGGGTGCTGGGGGCAGAAG